AAAAAAAAGAGAAAACTTTGAAATGGCTCCAAAGCAGTAATAGTTCACTTCTTCCTTTACAACTAAATTTTTTCATACAAAAGAATAACCAAAACATGTTGGAACGATGCGAGTGTAAGTGTTTTTTTACTGATCTGGACTGTTCTTGTACCCCTCCCATTCAGCAAAATTCAAAGAATGATAACAAATTATCGCTATAATTGCAGAACGTACTCACCTGAGTGGTCTGGATGGCATTCTGTCCAGGATAACCTCCATAAAGCCCTCCACCACCACCATACTGAGGTGGACCACCGATTGGTCCGCCATATGGCCCTGAGAGGAATATGTCATAAATGCTAATTAATTGAACAATCAAATAAACGGTAGCAATTACCAGCATCATAGTCTCTTCCAATTCCGCGATCATATCGCATATCCGGACCACCAAGTCCGCCACCCCCACGCATTGGAGGAAGAGGTGCACCAAGTGAACGTCGAGGACCTCCTAGATTAAAAGTTTTGAGTGATGCTTAGAATATAATTAGTTAATACCTGAGAATGGACTGATTGGTGGGCCGCCACGTCCTGAGGTAGGAAAAGCTGGGGAGAAGCCACCATAGTCTGGAGCCATAGCGGGATCATAGTTAAACGAGGTATATGGGTTGACGGGGCCCTGCAGAAGGAGAATAAGGGTGTGAAATAGTCAGTCTTATGGATTTGAAACAAACCTTGATGGGGATTTGTTTCAGCTCCTCAACAATTTGTTCAACAGCATCAAGCACATTGCGATCATCTCCAGACAACATGCAAATTCGGTCAGTTGATTGAGGACAGCATTGTTGAAACACCTGCCAACTAATGGATTTGACCTGTGTCTCTGCATGCTTAATTTATTTCCTACTTTAATTCTGGCATTTGTTCGGTCACGAAGTTCCTTGATTTTCCCTCCCTGTCGGCCAATCAGTGCACCAGCATGGGACTGGTGAACGAGCAAGCGAATAGTGCACTTGTCCTTTTCGTTTTGAGTCTTCAAAAATGAAACATAGAGAGAAAGTGCAAAAAGGAAAGAAACTGAACCAGAAAATTTATAGCAAAAACTGCTTACATCTTCGATACGTGGCAGTATGTCCTCAACAATGCGCACGATTTGCGATGGTTGGCATACAAGCGTCAATACCCTGACAAAAACAAGAATTTACAGTGATGATTGCATTTTTCTGGAAGTGATACATTGAAATAACATTAGTTCGATATTGCGATAATCCACTTAGAATTTTAAAAAAAAAGTGTAGGGGTTACTGTACCATTAAATTCGCAAAAAA